CCAAAAGTCGGATTGAAATTTGGTTTGCAGATTCGGATTCCTGGGATAATTCTACCCTTAATTCATAACTCATACGTTGAATTTGTAGAACTTTTTATTTTGACCTACTTTTCGGACACGCCATAACTTCCGAACCGGAAGTCTGATCGAAATTTGGTTTGCAGATCCGGATTCCTGACAAAATCCTACCCCTAATTCATAACTCATACGTTAAATTTGAAGAACTTTATATTTTGACCTACATTTGGGACACCATATCTCAAAAGTGGGTCAAAATACTTTCTGACGGCAAAAGGCTAACACTATTAGCACCCTCTTGGCTACATGTATACACAATTTTGAAGAATATAATTAAAGTGTAGTGTCAGAATCGCAAAAATAAGGAAAAACTTTGAATTTGACCTAGATTTTGACCTAGGCATTTTGGTGTCCAAATTTTTAAGAAAAGAAGATTTTGAGGTCCCTTTCTTTTATGGGCTTCCATTATGTTTAGCTGTACTTAGTCTATATCTCATATTTTACACTTCAAAAAAATCTTTTTTTCCATTGAATTAACATGGGACACCAAATTTAGCGATTTTTGAGCTTTCAAAACATCATAACTTCTGAACAAGATGTCGAATCGAAATTTGGTTTGCAGATTCGGATTCCTGATAAAATTCTATCCCTAATTCATAACTCATACGTTAAATTTAGAATTTTTTTATTTTGACCTACTTTTTGGACAAGCCATAACTTCCGAACCGGAAGTCGGATCGAAATATGGTTTGCAGATTCCGATTCCTGACAAAATTCTACCCCTGATTCATAACTCATAAGTTAAATTTGAAGATTTTTTTATTTTGACCTACTTTTGGGACACCATATCTCAAAAGTGGGTCAAAATACTTCCTGACGGCAAAAGGCTAACACTATTAGCACACTCTTGGCTACAGGTATACACGATTTCGAAGAATATAATTAAAATGTAGTGTCAGAATCGCAAAAATAAGGAAAAACTTTGAATTTGACCTAGATTTTGACCTTGGCATTTTTGTGTCCAAATTTTTAAGCTAGATGGCTTTTGAGGTCCCCTTCCTTTAAAAGCTTCCATTATATTTAGCTGAACTCGTCTATATTTCGTATTTTTCACTTCAAAAAAATCTTTTTTCCCATTGACTAACATGGGCACCAAATTTAGCGATTTTTGAGCTTTCAAAACGCCATAACTTCCGAACGGGAAGTCGGCTCAAAATTTGGTTTGCAGATTCGGATTCCTGAGAAAATTCTATACTTAATTCATAACTCAAACGTCAAATTTTGAGACTTTTTTATTTTGACCTACTTTTCGGACACCATATCTCAAAAATGGGGCAAAATACTTTCTGACGGCAAAAGGCTAACACTATAAGCAGACTCTTAGCTACATGTATACAAAATTTCGAAGAATATAATTAATCTGTTGTGTCAGAATCGCAAAAATAAGGAAAAACTTTGAATTTGACCTAGATTTTGACCTTGGCATTTTGGTGTCCAAATTTTGAAGCTAGATGGCTTATGAGGTCCCCTTCTTTTAAAAGCTTTCATTATATTTAGCTGAACTCAGTCTATATTTCGTATTTTTCACTTCAAAAAAATCTTTTTTCCCATTGACTAACATGGGCACCAAATTTAGCGATTTTTGAGCTTTCAAAACGCCATAACTTCCGAACGGGAAGTCGGATCAAAATTTGGTTTGCAGATTCGGATTCCTGAGAAAATTCTACCCTTATTTCATAGCTCATATGTTAAATTTGGAGAACTTTTTGGTTTTGACCTACTTTCAGGACGCCATATCTCAAAATCGCTAAGAGTAATCAAAAAACGGATGGCACACTCTCGATTTGTTTTTTTCTAAGCTACATGTAGAAACTAAGATGATGTAGTTACGACAAACAACAACGAAGATAATTGACAGAATGTTGATTTGACCTTGATTTGACCTAGTTCTTGACCCTTGACCTAGATAAAAATTTGACCTAATTTCCCATCATCCCAGGAACTGCCCCTAGTTGATCATGTAAGCAGCTTAAAGTAAATTCTTTTAGTTGGTGAGAAATCTGGGAAGGAGGAAGATTCTGAAAGAATAATAATAATAATAATAATAATAATAAAGAAAACTGACGAAAGCAATAGACTCCAGATTTTCATCTGGAGTCTAATAATTTATCCAGAGAAAACAAAACAAACTATGTAATGGGTGATTTTAATATTGATTTATTTAAGACCAATCAGCATGAGCCAACTGAAAATTTCTACAACATCATGACATCTTATAATTTAATACCACTTATAAAGCAACCAGGGTGACTTCAAGTACAGCACATTAATTGACAACATTTTCACAAATGATATCAAAAATGGATTATGTGGGATAATTTTTAATGACATTTCAGATCACTTCCCTATATTTGCTACTTTTAATAAACCGATTCATCAGATAAAAGTAATTAACAAATCAATTAGAAAATACTCTGACAATAATCTCACTACTTTCCAAGAAAAATTAGCAAAAGAATCATGGGCAGATATTTTGAATAGTGACAACGCAAATACTTCTTACAATTTATTTGAAAACCGTCTTAAAGAAATTTATGATGAAAGTTTCCCAATCAAAACAATATCTGTTAAATTATATAATAATAATGAAAAACCTTGGATTACAACAGCTATACTTGTATCTGTAAGACAAAAAAGCAAATTATATAAGAAATATCTTCGTTTACCGACAAATCAAAATAAGGCAAATTATAAAGTCTACTCAAAAATGCTAAAAACAATCCTAAGATCATCACATAAACGTTATTTTAGTAGAAAATTTGAGGAAAATCAAGGAAACATTAAGGCTAATTGGGAAATTATTAATGAAATTCTCCAAAGAAAAAATAAAAACCACAATATCCCAGACTCTTTTTTCCATAACAATTCTGAAATAAGTAATAAACTTGACATTGCTAACCAATTTAACTCCTTCTTTTCAAGGGTAGGTGAAACCCTAGCAGCTCAAATTCCTTCTACAAATAAAAGTCCTTTAGACTACATGAAAAATCTTGGCAGACAAGCTTCAACTTTATTTTTGAATCCAATTGACTCTAATGAGTTAGACATGGAAATATCTAAATTAAAAAACTCTGCGGCCGGTTTTGATGATTTCAAACCTTCCATAATTAAGCATTGTGGTAAGGCATTCCAATTACCATTATTACACATTTTCAATTTATCTCTAACAAATGGTATTTTTCCTGACAAATTAAAAATTGCAAAAATAATTCCAATTCATAAAAAGGAGGACAGTCAACTTTTTACAAATTATCGACCTATTTCGATTTTACCAGTCTTCTCCAAATTACTTGAAAAACTAATGCATCATCGCCTGACTTCCTTTCTCGACAAAATAGAAATTATGTATCTTTATCAATGTGGTTTTCGAGAAAAAAAGTCAACATTCATGGCTGTACTCACATTTGTTGAAAAAATTAGACATTCTATAGATAAAGGTGAATTCTCTATAGGGTTATTTCTTGACTTCTCTAAAGCATTCGATACTATAGACCACAATATTCTCTTTCAAAAACTTGAGTTTTATGGGATACGTGGTGTTGCACTGGAATGGGTCAAAAGTAACTTTTCTAATAGAATCCAAAAAAACTGTTACAAAGACACTATTTCAGATCCTGAGATAATTACATGTGGAATTCCACAAGGCTCTGTACTAGGTCCCTTGTTTTTTATCATATATATCAATGACATTTACTTATCCTCTCCACGATTATTTTTTGTGCTATTTGCAGATGATACTAATCTGTTAATACAAGGAAAAAATCTTAATGAAATCACAAATGCTTTGAATGCAGAACTGAAACTAATCGAGGAATGGATAGCCACAAATAAACTTTCATTAAATGCTAAGAAAACCAAATATATTATATTTTCTTCAAGACAAAAGCATTATAATAAAAATGAAATAAATGTCACTATGAATGACAAAGTACTTGAACAGGTGTCAAATATAAACTTTTTAAGAATCATAATTGATCAAAATTTAACCTGGAAAAATCACATAACATCCGTTAACATGAAAATATCAAGAACCATTGGTATATTATATAAAGTGAAGCATTTATTAAATGTCAAAAGCCTACTTAGTATATATTATTCTTTGATCTATTCATACCTTATCTATGGAAATATAGTATGGGGTGAAGCAGGCTGTACATTACTAAATACCCTTCATCTCTCACAGAAAAAATTTGTAAGAATTGCAACAAATAGTGATTTGAGAGCCCACTCCCTACCTCTTTTTCATGACTTAAAAATATTGAACATATTTGAAATAAATAAGCAGCAGAGATATATTTTTATGTTTAAATGGATCAACGACAAGGATAATTACAAACAAATATTCCCATCTTTTTTCAAAACAGTTGAGAATAGACACAATTACAACACAAGAAATAAGAAATCTTACGACAAGCCAAAAACCCGCACTAACTATGGAAAATCAATGCTAGCGTATTCTAAACCTGATATTTGGAACCAACTACCCCCGCACATTCAATCCATTAAAAGTACCATTTTCATGAAAAAACAAACCAAGAAATATTTATTGCAACTTTAATTCCTTCCTTGGGCAATTTGATGGCACATATTATATTTTTTGTTGAGGGCATGCAACGGCAGATCCCCAAACTGCATAATGTAACATACTTGTATTTTACTCACTCCATCTGTGGGAATATACACAAATCTTTGTGTCACCCACTTCATTGTTAACTATTGTATGTATTATATAAATAAATAAATAAATAAATAAAATAAATACTGTCTAGACTGACTTAAGTTTTTTTCAGAATCATCTACAAGTTTTTTTTGAGATTTGCCCTTCATTGACCTTCTCATAATAATTCATATAGACAAAGACAAAATGTCAAGGAGACACTTTATAAAATTGTACAGTTTGTAGAATTATACCATTCACATACCTGTTTCAGTGTAAAGGCTCCTTCCTTGTATTTGATTCTGTGCCACTCAGCTTGTAGTGTATCAAACTGACCATCTGATGGGAATGGGGGCAGGAGGGATATGCCTTTCTGGAGAACATCAGCATTGTCCAACACCAACAGTTTAAGGAGGCCAAGTCCCTGAAACCAGTGGAAATTCCAACCAAGTCATTCTACAGGGTGATCAAAAAAACACAACCCAAAGAAATCGCTATATCTTGGAAAATACTAATCCAAATATGTTCATGTTTTCAGGAAAAGAAAGAAGAGACTGTGTATGTATAGCTCCTGTTGTCAGTAAGTTGTAAACATGATGCCTTGGACACCTGCTCAAATGACAGTTGTACTAGGAAAATATGAAAACGCAGTCAGAGGTGACTGCCACAGCAACAAGGCATTAACATGACAAAATGTCACCACCTAAAACAATTTGGTCAATTTAAAGCAACTTGAAAAAATACCCTTTGACTTTTTTTGACATTGAGAAGGTCATTGAAGGTCAAATGTCAAATGTAAAGTCAGATTTGAACTTCTGAGAACATGTAGATGATTTTGAAAAACAAATTAAGTAAATTTGAAGCAAGTTGAAAAAAGACCTTTTTGACCTTGAAAAGGTCATTGAAGGTCAAATGTCAAATCTAAAGTCAGATTTGAACTTCTGAGAACATGTAGATGATTTTGAAAAAAAAATTAGTCAATTTGAAGCAAGTTGAAAAAAGACCTTTTTGACCTTTTTTGACCTTGAGAAGGTCATTGAAGGTCAAATGTCAAATCTAAAGTCAAATCTAAAGTCATATTTGAATTTCTGAGAACATGTAGATGATTTTGAAAAAAAAAATTAGTCAATTTGAAGCAAGATGAAAAAATACCTTTTTGACCTTTTTTGACATTGAGAAGGTCATTGAAGGTCAAATGTCAAATCTAAAGTCAGATTTGAATTTCTGAGAACATGTAGATGATTTTGAAAAGAAAATTGAGTCAATTTGAAGGAAGTTGAAAAAAGACCTTTTTGACCTTTTTTGACTTTGAGAAGGTCATTGAAGGTCAAATGTCAAATCTTAAGTCAAATCTAAAGTCAGATTTGAATTCCTGAGAACACGTAGATGATTTTGAAAAAATTTCTTAGTCAATTTGAAGCAAGTTGAAAACAGACCTTTTTGACCTTTTTTGACCTTGAGAAGGTCATTGAAGGTCAAATGTCAAATCTTAAGTCAAATCTTAAGTCAGATTTGAATTTCTGAGAACACGTAGATGATTTTGAAAAAAAATTTTAGTCAATTTGAAGCAAGTTGAAAACAGACCTTTTTGACCTTTTTTGACCTTGAGAAGGTCATTGAAGGTCAAATGTCAAATCTAAAGTCAGATTTGAAGGTCAAATGTCAAATCTAAAGTCAAATCTAAAGTCAGATTTGAATTTGTGAGAACATGTAGATGATTTTGAAAAAAAATTTAGTCAATGTGAAGCAAGTAAAGACCTTTTTGACCTTGAGAAGGTCATTGAAAGTCAAATGTCAAATCTAAAGTCAGATTTGAACTTCTGAGAACATGTAGATGATTTAGAAAAAAATTGAAGTCAATCTAAACAGTATTTGTTAAGTTATAGGAAGTTGTAAGAAATTGTTACAGACGCCGGACGCCGGACGCCAACCTCCAACCACCAACCGCCGTCGCAAAAAAACGGAGACCATAACAATATGTCACCACTTTTGGTGGTGACATAACAAAAAAACGGAGACCATAACAATATGTCACCACTTTTGGTGGTGACATAATAATAAAACCAAATAACTTTCTAACCATGGTGTTTTGGCACTTCAGATTTGGCACAAATTATCCTCATTCAATGTGTGGTGAATTTGTGGAGTTTCATCAAAATCACTCCAGGGACATTCTGATTTATCAGAGTCCCTCTTTACCTTACGCTTTTGAGAGACTCTGATATATCATGAGGCAGAACATGTTCCTAGCCAGTGCATTCTCCAAGTAAATCACTGTATATGGAGGAATAAATTAGTGCCTAAGAATGCACCGTCCTGTTTTCCCCTTTGTAAACTTAAATTCAATGAATTCATTATGTGGAAAACTTTTATTTATCTTGATGGTTCTTGTTTTTATATTAAAAATTAATAACTATGATAATGTTGACATACTTCTTTTTCCTTATTGTTTCCAATTTAGAATTTTAAATAATAATTATCATGCAAATGTCAACACTTGGATTATTTGGGAGGGAATTGTGTTTGGTCACACTCATTAGGCTTTGTCTGCTTATGTAATCAGGCAACTGCAGGTAATGCCTTCCCATGATACTCATGGTCAATAGAACTCTGTAAATAATTTAATTGGTCCGTACATTTTAGGGTTAAAGGAAACATTTATTACAGTCAGTATCCCACAGTCTGAACTATTCCAAAAGGATAGTAAAGGCTGTGGATCCCACAATGCTCCAGGGACTTTACAGTCATGGTCAAAATGGCTTCTTAAGTCTCCCTCAACCAGGGCGTTTGACTGTGACTTGAAAGCATTTCAACCATAACTGTAAAGTCCCTGAAGTAATTTTGATTTCACTCTACAGATTTACCATACAAAGAATGAAGATGATTTGTGCCAGATTTGAATAGCCAAAACACTATGGTTAGGAAGTTATTCAATTTTTTGCGGTTGCAGTCACCCCTGACTGCGTTTTTCGTATTTTCCTAGTACATCTGTCTTTTGAGCAGGTGCCCAAGGCATCATGTTTTACAACTAACCATTTACAGGAGCTGTACATACACAGGCTCTTCTTTATTTCCTGAAAATATGAACATAATTGAACCAGTATTTTTCAAGATATAGCAATTTCTTCGGGTTGCGTTTTTTTTAACACTCTGTATTTGGCCTTCCACTATAGATTCCACTATGACAAATCAAGGTATATCAAGGAAATCAAAATATCAATATTCTTTTCTCTCACAAAAGCAAAAAGCAACAAAGCTATTCCTATGTTTTCTAAAACAATTCCACCTGATTTCCCCAAAACCTGGCTTCTCCATTTAAGTGTGTGAGTCTCAGAAACTATATACATGTAGAGTATACAGGTGTCTGTAGTCGGGACAATAAATACACCCCATGCAGACAAATCGCCTAAAATTACATTTGTATGACGTGAGACTCAACATTCACCAGGAAAGTAGAAACATTTTGTCACCCATGATGTAAATTACTGCTTAATAAATGATGAATGATTAAGTCATATTAATTTCTATAAATATGAGAATAGCATGCCGTCTTGATATTTCAAGGTTCTCGTTCGAAAAATGATGATGGTGATTGAAATGACAATGTAAAGATAAAAAAACGCAACAAAATATTTGTAGATTTCTTTTAAAAACTAAGAAATATACATGTATATCTCATATTGAATTTTTCAAAACAGAAAAGAACATGTATAAATAGTAAGGCATGTAGGTCCGATTCCCCCTGGTAGCATTGGTCTAATATAAGTCATACAATTAATATTTGAAACCCAACTATTATTCAAACTTATGATCGGACATAAGTATGATGTGAACTTCAATGTAATATTAACAAAGTAACATCATACTTATATCCGATCATAAGTTTGAATGATAGTTGTATTTCAAATATTAATTGTATGACTTATATTAGACCAATGCTACCAGGGGGAATCGGACCTGCAGCCCTTACTTTTTGTACATGTTTTTATCTGTTTTGGAAAATTTGATATGTGGTATATATTTCTTATTTTTTCAAAGAAATCTACAAATATTTCATCACGGTTTTATCTTTACATCGTAATTTCGATCACCGCCATCATTTATCGAACGAGTTACCTTGAAATATCAAGACGTCATGCTATTCTCATACTTATAGAACTCAATGTAACTGTCCTTGACAATTAATTAAGCAGTAAAAAAATTAATTTGCTTCACGGATGACAAAATGTTTCTATTTTCCTGGTGAATGTCTTGCATCATACAAATGTAATTTTAGGCGATCTGTCTGCATGAGGTGAAGTAAGGTCAACCAGGTATGATTAATTTAGGTATGAGGGGAAAGCTAGGACAGTAGTGCAATGCCTCTTTCTTAATTTAGATACCCATTGACACACAATAAAATGAGTTCAATCTCAAGTCAGATTTGAACTTCAGAGAACTTGTAGAATATTTTGAAAAAAATTGGTCACTTTGAAGCAAGTTACAAAAAAAGACCTCTTTGGCCTTTTTACCTTGAGAAGGTCATTGAAGGTCAACTTTTAAACCTAAAAATCTTGAAACTGGAGAGGTTAAGCTAACGATGTTTTTCACAACGTAACCGTGAACGCAAAGTACAAAAATTAACAAAGGAATGTATCGAGCGCTCATAGTTTTATGCGCGCTTAGTCTACTTCAGATACTCTTTCAGCTTCAGAGTTTCGGGTTTAGAACGGGAGATTTGAATATTTGACGTTGGGTCAATGGGAACAATTTTACTCGTGTCTATTGAACACTATGCTGTCAATTTTGATTTCGATGCACAGTTGAATTCTTGCTGAACACGATGATGTATGTCATGCATGATTTAGCGCCAAAAATCTTACGAAACGAGCTCGTTTAAAATATGTATTAGAAAACCAGCTATAAAACCGCATCAATGACATACTATAGAATCATTACACGCTATGGTGTAGTCTAAACAAACACTGGATTTGAACGGCTATTTATATGAGAAGGCTACATGAATTTGTATATGGTCGAGTGATACGTACAGGTTCAGTTTCGATTATATATGCAAAGCTTAACCTCTCCAATATCATCTTAAAGTGTCTCACATATTCGATCAAAATTTGCCATGCAAACATGTTAGTCTACTTTACTGGCCCCCCTTGCTGTAACAAGGAACACAAAACACATTAAAACGTAAATATAAACCAATTAGCCACTTCACTATGAAAGTGGGGGGTGTTAGGAAATGTGTATTATGCCATAAGAAGTAGATTCTTTGTTTTGCATCCTGGCAAAATCCAAATCATACAAGGGTAAAAGGAAAACAAATACAAACTCAAGAAAAAACACAAACTTGTTTGTTGAGAAATGAATACATTTTATGGGCATAAAAAGGGATGACATACCAATTTGCAGTGATCACAAACACATATCTAT